AGCGTGTGTGTACATGTATGTATATATATATAATATTCTATATATGTATATATATATATATATGTGCACATATGTGCGTGAGCTTCTATATACAGTTCATACACACACACATATATATATATATAAATTTACATACACAGTATACGGTACAACCCTATGAATTCAGCATTTGTTACTTCCCAAAATACCGGCCGAAATCTGCTCAGGTGCCTCATTGTTAGGTACTTGGACCCCTCAGGTCCTAAGGAGAGGCCACATACAGCCCGGACCGAAGTGTTGGGGTGGCGACAGAACGGTAGACCCAAAGCACTTACAGTCAAGATTGCGAAGGTCTCTGGTCTTGCGCTTGCAGTTGCAAGAGCCAGATCAGAGACCCCAGCCCAACCCCTGTACCCTTAGGTCAAGGGTAGGGTCTATTTGATGGCCCTTTGTTGTCTCCTAAACTGCTTGCAGACTTAGCTCAAAGACTTGCATTTGGAGGCCTAAACCCTAAACCCCAAACCCCAAACCCTAAACCCTAAACCGAAGGTATTGAGGGTGGCTCTTCATTGCACTCAGGGCAAATCGGATCAACCCGGCGTTGAGGGTTTTGGGTTTAGGGTTTAGGGTTTAGGGCAGGGGTTTTATAAGGGTTGTCTCAGGGTTCCACAACGGTTTGGGGTGTCTGGGGTTTAGGGCTTAGGGCCCTTAATGTAGGGACCTCAATAATTGGAATAGGGTGTTGGGGGTTCCTTTTCAGTTTCATGATTCTTAGCATAATATTCCCCCAAACCCTATTGGAATTATTAAGGCCCCTACATTATGCTGATTTCAGGACCACCGCAAAGCTCTTCAACAGCTTCGGCGTGTGCGTGCCACTGGTGAACCCCCTCCCGAATCGGGTGACATTGCACATGAGTCTTCGTCTGATTCAGATTGTGATTGTGGACCTTCAGGTTACAATCGGTGCGACAGAGTTCCGGGATATACCGCGGACATATACTGGATATTCCTACCTTCGGACCTGCTGGCTTGCCTACATACCTACCTAAAAACATACGCACGTGCATTGTTACGACAGGCACAGATACATACCTACCTAGTTACTGACCTACCTACCTACCTACCTATACCTGCCTGCCTACCTACCCGCCTACCTACTTACCCACATACATACACACATACGCCTACACGTACACCTAGACCTATACATACCGTGACGTATACATATATACAAAAAGATATAGTGCAGATACGCACGTCCCACACCTTCATCACCCAAACCTTTGCAAAGTGCAAAAGCTTAAGGGCGCTTGTACGGATGGTTTTCAAAACCATCCGTACAAGCGGCCTTAAGCTAAGCTAAGCTAAGCTAAGCTAAGCCCTGAATCCCACGAATCAGGGTTTCGGGCCACCACGCGACGAAAAATTGGAGGCCCGAACGCATGTCCACATAGCCATTTTCTTAGGTGTGACAAGGGGCTCATGTAGGTAGTGTAACGCCAAAGTATATGGTTCAAAGGCACCCCGGCCTTGGGGGAGACCGTGAACCTTTCATTGCCTGCTGGAGACGACAGGATCCTAATAGGGTCCACAAAAAGGCACTGGGAAAGAACTTCGAGAGAAACAACAAGGAAGTTCTCCTAGACTGAGTGGCGCAGGGCTTATGATTCTAGACCCATTGATCTTCGGTGGTGTAGTCCAACTATGACAGTTTACTTCGAACCGTACTTGCATACTGTCGACTTCAATATGATGCAGAGGCCTCGTAACACTTCTAAACCCTAAACCAAACCCTAAACTAGGCCCTAGATGCAAACCCAGGCGACTGTGCTTAGTTGACCTTGGCCTCTCACAACCGCTCGTTTTCTTGTGTCTTGCTGAGGGGCCCCAACTAGGGATGGTTTTGGGGTTTAGGGCCGGTGGTTTAGGGTTCAGGGTTTACGGTTTAGGGTGGTGGTTTAGGGTTTAGGGTTTAGGGTTTAGGGTTTAGGGTTTAGGGTTTAGGGGTTTAGGGTTTAGGGGTTTAGGGGTTGAGGGTTTAGGGTTAAAGGGCCGAGCTAGGAATGGAATCTACAGGGATTTGCGTACATGAGCATGGCAACTGAAATTGTAGTTTGTTTAAGCACCCTGTGACAACCTTGCAAGGCCCTTGCAGCACCAACACAAACACCCTACAGCAAGAACCCTAATCCCTATTCCCTAAACCCTAAACCCCATATACTTCAAACCCTAAACCCCAAACCCTTTACCCTAAACCCTGAACCCTAGACCCTAAACCCTAAACCCTGAACCCTAGACCCTAAACCCTAAACCCTGAACCCTAGACCTTAAAACCCCCCTCAGTCTCCGAGGATGTGGGGCGAGCCCGTCGAAATGCCCTCGAAGGCCGAGGATCCCGAGGCCCCCGTACCCCAGACCCCCGGAGGGTTTAGGGTTTAGGGTTTAGGGTTTAGGGTTTAGGGTTTAGGGTGTTTTCTAAATTAGGGTCGCTTTGGGGGTCCTTGTTATAAGGGTGCCGTACTATATTGGGGACCGAAAAAGGAGCCATAATTTACGGAACTACCCATATCTAAAAAGTAGATCCCTTAATTTTGGTTTGGGATTTCGGGTTTAGGGTTTAGGGTTTCGGGTAATTTTGGTTCAGGGTTTCGGGTTTAGGGTTTTGGGTTTCGGGTTCAGGGCTTAGTGCTCAAGGGCTAAGGGGTATCTGTACACACCCTCATCAAGGGATCTACTTTTTGGATCCTCCAGGGTCTAATTAGGACATTTTCCGGTGTGTAGTTACCGTGATAGGAGCCTTGTAGAAGGTCTATATACCTTATGGAAGCCTTATAGAAGCCCTATAGACCCTAAACTCCCCGCCTGTAGTGTCCTTTAACAGGGTGGGCCTAAACCCTAAACCCTAAACCCTAAACCCCTAAACCCCTAAACCGTCAAGGATCCCTTAAAGGCACCCTAAAGGGGGGGTCTGGGGTTGCAGTGGCTCAGAAAGCCCAGGGGCAGGAGCCCTGAGGTTCCCAGAGGTGACGGTTTAGGGTTTAGGGATGATATAGGGATG